TTACATATACCTCTGTTAGTTTTACTTATATTTGTATGTTACGTGAATAAACTTATTATTATTTATGGAAAATATATTAATAAAATGTAAATTTCACTGGAAGAGCACCCTCTCTTTCATTCACCGAAGATTTTAATTACTTTGACTGAATAGACGATCATCAGATTATTGTGCCTAATGCCTAAAGCTTATCGACATTATCATTTCTATCAACCTTCTGGTCACATTCCTAAAGAAACTGGCGATAACCTGTAGATTATAAAAACATAATAATGAAAATGGCTTTTTATCAAATGTGGTACTCATAACAAATAAATGTAACCAACCAAAAGTATGAAGCCTATAGCATATGAAAACGTTGGGTTGTATTTTTTTTTTGAGCTTATAATAAAATTCGACTTATATAATATTCGATACGTTAATATTGATAATAATGGAATGCATGGCAATAAAATAATAATCATGGATACCACAAAGAATATTTAGTCAGTGTCATCGTATGTCATAGAAAAGCTTTATCTTTCATTTCAAATTGTTAACTTACCTAGCTAGTTGTGATAAATATTGAACAATGACTTATTCAATTTAAGAAAGGGTAGAAATAACAAAACTATACAGTTACCAAAATGGGAACATTGCAGGAGCTACTGCCCGATTGTTTAATGCGTTACATCCAGACAAAAATAATAAGGACAAGTATGTGAAACTGGATCTGTTTCTAATATTCGCCGTAATCGCCATCGAGAAAATCGACCAGTTAGAAATGAAACCGCAGAAATAGCACTTTTGGGACACGTAGCACTTGACAATACCCAAAGCACTCGTGGACTGGCTACTTCTTCAGGATTTTCACGCTCAACAGTACTGAGAATTTTGAAAAAAAAATAATTTTCTAAATAAAACTTGTCCATGAGCTGAGTGAAGACGATCTTGATAGAAGGTTGGAGTTTTGCGAATTCATATCCCAACGTTTAGTCAACAATGCAAATCTGTTATTCAATATTTGTTTTTCGGATGAGTGTACCTTCTATTTACATGGTGCTGTAAATAGACATAACTTAGTGTAATTGTCGATATTGGAGTGACTCAAATCCACATTTGCTTCAAGAGGCAATGTCCTGAAAAAATAACTGTGTGGGCCGACATTTTCGGAAATCATATTATATGACGCTTTTATATTTCTGGAAACTTGAAAGGCGAGACGTACTTTTACATGTTAGAAGATACAATAGAGCTACGAATTACCGAAATAATAGAAAATTACGTCAACAAAAATGAAAATTACATTCATTTCCAACAAGATGGTGCACCGCCACACTATGTTGCTCCAGAACGATAGTTTTTGGACACGCATTTCCCGTATCTGTGAATCGGCACACGAGGCTTCATTAAATGGCCGTCAAGATTTCCGGACCTAAGTCCTTTAGATTACTTTCTTTGGGGGCATTTGAAAATTTAAATTTTTATTACGAATCCAGACTCCATTCAAGATCTTCGGCAACGGATTACGACTGAATATAGACAAATACCTCAAGACATGCTTGAAAATGTGAGGAATAGATTCGAACAAAATTTCTATTATTGCATGGACACCACTTTCAGCACTTTATTACCACATCGATCTACATCTTTATAGCAAATTAATTTTTACCTTTACTTTAATGTGCGTGCAAACTGTAAGTTGTTTCGTTTTTTAATACTCGGAGACTTGTTTTCATATTGATATATTGATTATTAGTTTTACCGTATCATGTCTAGAATTTTATCATAAACTCAATAGCTTCTCAACAATTGAAGATAGGTATAAACCTCATTGTACGAAAGTTAATGAAACCTTCATGGAAAATCTAAAAATAAAAAAAAATGGAGGTTTCCATTTGAAAATCTAAAGTGTAACGCAATATCTTATTTTTGGATCACCCTGTATTGTACGGCTATAAATGAAAGGACCTCATCCTAGAAATCAAAATTGACGTGTCTCAGCATTTTTCCCAAAATATACCAGGAGAATCACAAATGACGGTGCGATCTTTTCGTTGGGCCACCCTGTATATGTTTGGAATCAGAATTAAAAACTCTATTTATCTGTGCAAAAATCCTATATGGCATCCTTAAGAAAAAATAAAGGTGGTGCTGGAGCACAATAATTCGCAATTTATTTTGCAATCCCACTACATATAAGGTCAGAAAAAAATTTTGACGATTTTGAGAAAATCCTTTTTTTTCTCTCTCCAGAAGGACTTTGAATTTCGAGACTTTCTAAGCGGCATTTTGTTAGTTATCTAAATACGCAACTCTACCCCCATTTAAGCGACTTCGTATCCCTTACAGTTTTCGAGATTCGAATAGTGAGGGTCGAATTTGAAACACCCGGTATATTTTTATCAAGATTAATATCTACACTGTATATTTTATATAAGTCAATTTTGTTAATGATACCTTATTCTAATTTGCATCAAACCTGATAGTATTTGACAAATATAATCCTTGTCGAGTTTTTTTTAATAATAATAATAATGTTTATTAGTCTAACTAGAAACTTTTCATATAAATAATAACGGCAATGTCTTATAAACATCATATACCCAAAAAGTGTACACTTGTGCTCGGGTTTTAACCGAACTTGAATTATATGAATAAAACAAATTTCCTATAAGTATTCTAGTCGGAGGTATAAATTTGCATCAATTTATTATCAAATAACATACAGGTATATTATTGATTTTTAATGTCTACAAACTTATGGATTTGTAGCCTTGGTTGATTTAGGATCTATAACTTTAATTCAATTTTTAAACGCTTTTTACATTTTATATGTTTAAATTTTGAGCATAGAAAGTGAAATGATTATTGGCTGATGGGTTTTATTTAGTCTAGGATAGAATGTAACAATTTGGATTTTTTGTTAAATATATTATCGAAAAGCTGAGATACACTGTAAAGATATTCTGTAGGATAACATTTCTTTTTGTTCAACATAACCTTCAAGATCCACTTCTGCGTGATTTCAATTTTTTATAATAATCATTTATGACTCCCCTCAAGATTCCATAAAATACTAGTGATTGAACAAGCGCATGATATATCATCTAAAGGTATTTTTCGCTAAAAACCTGCTGAAATGTTTGATTTGCGGAACAAGATAAAATATCTTCATTTTCTTATTAAATTTTCAACATGTACTAGCCCCTTCCCACTTCAGTTGGCCCAACTATTAAAATCTTAGTTTTTTCTTATCAAACACAAATAATAAAAATGTAGCAAGGTGTTAGGTTTAATTACAGCATATCAACCTATTTTCATTTCAATGCAAAATAAGTCTATAACGCATAGGTGGCTGTGAAAAATAAAAGCAATGACAATTGTTTTTATTAATCACAGCTATCAGAATACGTTTAAAATAGTTTTGGGTAGTTAAGGTTTTCAAAATGGGTAGAGGAAAGGTTATTAGTGAGAAAATTCGGTTACTGATAATTAAATTTTTTAATTCTGGTAAATCAAACTCAGAAATTGCAACTTTGTTAGACTTATCGCGGTACTGTGTGAGAAATATTGTTAGAAGATATAACGTAACTGGTTCTGTTAATATTAAGCCACGATATGTGAAAAAAAGTAATATGACAAATGCCGACCGAAGAGCACTAAGAAGAATAATCGTGAAAAACAGGCGTGCCAATTATTTACAATTAAGTGCTCTGAGGAGTGACGCTGTTGGAAGGAGAATTTCGAGGTCCACAACTCATAGAGAGGCCCACAAACTGGGATTTAGCACTTGCAAGGTAAGTTTTCTTATAAAAAAAAAAGTGAAGTAAAAATCCTAAAGTTGCACAACTTGTTTATAGGCCAAAGAAAAGCCACTATTAACTCCACTGCAAAAGAAAAATCGGCTTAGATGGGCTAAAGAAAATAGACAATGGACACCTCAACAATGGTGTGCAATACAATGGAGTGATGCGGCACGATTCGAAGTTTGTGTTGGTGACAGTCGCAGTAGAGTTATTCGCAAAAAAAATCAAGCATTCCATGTTGACTATCTAAAGAGAAAAGTGAAATTTCCAGCATCCAATATGGTCTGGAGCAGTATGTCATCAAAAGGAGTAGAAAACTTCATTTTATTGATGGAAATGTGGATACAAACAAATATTTGTCAATTTTAGAAGAATCGCTTTTACCAGTGATGGAAGACTGTTTGACATCCGGCCAAGATTTTGTGTTTCAGCAAGATGGTGCAGCGTGCCATACCTCAAAAAATGCTATAAAATGGATGGAAGAAAATAATGTACCACTTTTGAAATGGGTTTCTAGCAGTCCAGATCTGTCACCTATTGAAACTTTGTGGCACGAGATGAAAAAGGTTCTACGACAACATCCTGCTCGTACAATCACCGTACTGAGACAAAAGCTTAAAGAAATATGGGATTGTTTTACACCAAATTTTTGCCAAAACTTGGTTAACACTATGCCCCAAAGAATTTCAGCCGTAATAAAAAATAAAGGTGATGTTACCCAATGGCAATCTTTCAATTGTTGCTTTGTTAACTTCGCGCATTTATTCGCACATTGTTTATTTATAGTTATAGGTCCAAGTGATTTCAAATATGTATTTTTTACGACTAGAGTGTATCTAAAACGTTTTTGAGAAAATAAATTGTTTTAGAAGTAAATAGTTTCGTCATGTTTAGTTTATAAAGGCATATTTTGGTACAGATCTTGAAGTGGGCCAACTTAAGTGGGAAGGGGTTATCTATGAATAAATACCCTTAAAAATCTGAAATTATCAACCATTTTTATGTTTTTGTAGTTATTCAACGTTTTGATTTGGAGTTGATTCAAATTTGGGGAAGATCTGTGGTCGCAAAAAAGGAGTAAAATATGTTTTGTTGAAATTGACTGTTAAAATCCTTTCCGTGAAAAAATATGTCGGAAATAATTTTTCTGTTTTTTTTGCACGATTTTTTACTCATGTTTACTGGTATATGTAACTATTTTCTCCATTTCAGACTGACAACAACAGCGCAGTCGGAGGCGGCGACTCGAGTGACAGTTGCATCAGCGACGGCGAAATGGACAGCGAACCGTCCGCCCCCTCTCCGAAGTCTGCCACGCCCACATCGAGTGCGGCCAATGGCAACGGACCGTCGACTCGACCGCCCATCCTGTCGCCGTTGATGTATCAGACGCCGCAGGGCATGATGTACGCTGCCACGCCTTCCGGAGGCGGAGTCATACTGGGACTGGCACAGCCCGAAGACGGAGCAACTCACCCTCAGTTCATCACTATACCGTTGTCGATGATGGGCGCACAACAGCACCAACAGAATGGGCAGAGTGCGGAACTTGATCTTTCAAAAAGAAAATAAATTATCTGACTGTATTCGAGGTTTTTCAAGCATTTGAGGGGTTGAGCAGGGACGGTAATCTCGGTTTCAGAAACTCACAGCGTTTTCATGTCATTTGCATTGATTATAGCATTATAAGAGAGAGGTTATGGCTCGCAGTGTAAAATAAAATATAATAACATTGTTCAGAAGTTATGACGCATTAGCTTAGTTTTGAATGACTCAGCGCTGTCCTATTGTGAGGTTATGCTTTCTTTTTGAATTGTAGGAAATTTCAGGCTGATAAGACAGATATATATATATATATATATATATATATATATAACTTGAGACGTGGTCATTGTCGTCTAGACCAGTTAGGTGAAAAATTAAAGCTTCCGCCTTTTGTTGGGTACTTCGACAAAATTTAAGCAAAGAGGACTCTTTATACTTTTTTTAATTCTCTCTAGCTTTCAATGGACTTTGCCATCATCATCAGGAGCTGCAATTACAATGATAATTGTAGCAACAAAAGTGTAAAACGAATTTAAATTGAATCAACTTACAGTAGTATGTGAGGATGTTGCTAATTGTTCGTATGGTATGACCGGTTTCTCAATTTTAGGACATACCATAAGCTAGGGATTAAAATCAATTTGGTAAAACAGATGAAAACAAGGGTAATCAGCATCTCAGATAATACTTTCCACACCTCAAATTTACATAAACTATCAAAACTGTTCATCAATAATGGTTATCCGAAGTGTCTGATTAACAAGATCTTATTTAGTTCACCTTCCAATATTTTGCCTAACTCTGGTGATGCAGGTAATAGTCACACAACCCCTAATAATAACGGAACTGATGTAATTCCCAATAATAGCATCAATCCAAACAGTACAAGCGCCAACCCAGACTCCAGACCTGGTTTTGCTGTCTTACCCTATATCAAAGAACTGACCCCTAAGCTGATCAGATTGTGCAGTCCTTTGAACTTTCGAATTGCTTGCAAATCCGTCCTCACTATAAACCGCATTTTTTCAAAAATGAAAGACAAAGTCCCGCTGCTTGGCTTAACTAACACAGTCTACTCCATCAATTGCAACAACTGCAACCAAATATACATAGGTCAGACCTCCAGATCTCTTAAAGGAAGGATTACATCACACAAAAGTGATGCTAGGCTTCATCCTGAAAGATGCGCTCTAGCATCTCATGTTAACACAACAGGGCATTCTACGAATTACACAAGTATCAAAGTTCTTGATAAAGAAAAACACCTTTAAACGTTTATTCCTGGAAATGTCCCACATTTTCATGAATAACAACTGTATCAACAAAAAGACAGATATTAAACGACTGAGTGTCATTTACTCATATTTGCTAAACTGCGAAAAATTGGAGAAATTACATATCTCCCCAAATTTCGACTTTTCACAACCATAAATATAATCTGTGTTTTGGCCGATTCCACCAACAAATTTCATTCCACTCAAAATCTAATCATTCTCTTCTCACGATTTATTAATAATTATTAATTTAAAATTCCCATCAATTAAAATATAGTTTATTCAACTGCCTCTGGTCGGTTTAACAATTTCTTACATAACATTCTGAAAATCACATCATCTGAAGTGATTTGGCAACGTTTTGGCACACGCCCACAATTCGTTCCATCTTTTAACACAGACATTGACAACCTTCGGCCTTCTGTCAAAGGTTCATCTCACTCATTATTCCATGACCACCATTTTGTGCAATCATCAAGTGGCTTCACGACGTAATGCTTTAATGTTTTCTAAATAATTTTTAATCTGTCTTTAACTTGTCTTGTCATATTTTATATAATTTTAACCATTGTACCATGTATCCAGCTCTCACCATGTTACTGGACGTTTCCCTCATCCTATACGAAAACAACAATTAGCAACATCCTCACATGCTACTGTAAGTTGATTCAATTTAAATTCATTTTACACTTTTGTTGCTACTGTAATCATTGTAATTGCAGCTCCTGATGATGATGGCAAAGTCCATTGAAAGCTAGAGAGAGTTAAAAAAAGTATAAAGAGTCCTCTTTGCTTAAATTTTGTCGAAGTACCCAACAAAAGGCGGAAGCTTTAATTTTTCACCTATATATATATATATATATATAAATTGTTTATTGGGAATTGGCAAAACGTAAAGCGTAGTAAACTCTTTTGATGATAATCTCGAGCTTTCGACAAACTATGTTGTCATCTTCAGGAGCTAAAACACAAGTATGAAAATAACAACCAATTTATAACAGATTTAAATTTTCAAATCACTTTCCTGTCGGTGAGGTTGCAGGTTGGAGCTAATAGTCTAATGATATTAACAAATTCCCCGAAATAATTGTAAAGTCTGACTTTATTGGTGTAACACTTGTTCAAGAGGGTATTTAAAACAAGGACGCATAAATGGTTACACCAATTTTTGTGGGAAAACTCATTATTCGTCAACACAGAACGAGAAAACGTATTTTTTGAATTTCATCGAAAGTGTTTACTCGAACAAAACATTTTTTTAAGTTTTTATGAGACCTACAAAATGAGACCATACCTAAAAAGATCCGAATAATATCAAAAATGTTATGGCCGAAAAACGAGGCAAAATTGCAGGCTTTGGCACTTGTTGGTAATGCGACAATAATTTCACGCAACTACTTGAAATTCTTCAAATACGAAGGTTGCTTACTTCTAAATAACAACAACAAAATTGTAGTATATTGGTCAAGCAGTTTTTTGACAATTTCTAATTGTTTATCCCAAAACACCTATTTTCCGGTCATCACTACTAGTTTATTGAGCAATAGACAGGTTTCGTTTAATAGCAAATTACACGTGTTTATGTTGACGATATGAATCACAAACGATTCCGAAAGATAAATGTTACTCTTATGCGAAAAACAAAGGTTACGTTTTTTCTTCTAAACAAATTCAAACATTTCGTATTTTGTAATTGATCAAATGCGCTACGATATTCGAAAAACATATGTTACTATACACATTTTAAAACAAAGCTGATGTGTCCATCACCACCGTATTTTGTTGCGAATTACTCACAAATACGAAATGTTTGAATTTGTTTAGAAGAAAAAACGTAACACATCCTTTTTTTGCATAAAAATAACATTTATCTTCCGGAATGGTTTGCGATTCATATCGGCATAGTAAGCTAGTGTATTTTGCTATAAAATGCAATTTGAACTGACCCTGTATATTGCTCAATAAACTATTAGTGATGGCCAGAAAACAGGTGTTTTTGGATAAACAATTAGACCTTCTCAAAAACTACTTGACCAATCTACTCCAATTTTGTTATGGTTATTTAGAAGTAGGAATTCTACGAGTTTGAAGAATTTCAAATATCTGCGAGAAACCATCGTCGCATTACCAATAAGTGCCAAAACTTGCAGTTTACCTGGATTTTCTATCATAACTTTTTTGCTATTAGTCGGATCGTTTCACGTGTAGTCTCGTTTTGTAGTTCTTATAAATACCTAACAATCTTATATTAAGAGCTTTTTATTCCTGCCAACACTTTCGATTGAATCCCAAAAAAAAAAAAAGTTTTTTCATTCTTTGTTGTCGAATAAAAAGTTTTCCCATAAAAATTGGTGAACCCATTTTATGCGTCCATGTTTTAAATACCCCCGTGAACAACTTGCAACCAATATAACCAGACTTTACAATTATTTCGCAAACCAGGGGTATTTTCGTCTAACATGATTAGACCATAAAAGGTGTTTTAAAACGAAAGCGTGGACGAGAACATTTGTTGCAATTATAAAACATTGGGTCGGTTTCTAATGACGAAACACATAGATAGGTGGGTGTTACAACCATATATAATATATATATATATATATATATATATATATATATATATATATATATATATATATATATATATAGGTGAAAAATTAAAGCTTCCGCCTTTTGTTGGGTACTTCGACAAAATTTAAGCAAAGAAGATCCTTTATACTTTTTTTAATTCTCTCTAGCTTTCAATGGACTTTGCCATCATCATCAGGAGCTGTAATTACAATGATAATAGTAGCAACAAAAGTGTAAAATGAATTTAAATTGAATCAACTTACAGTAGTATGTGAGGATGTTGCTAATTGTTGTTTTCGTATAGGATGAGGGAAACGTCCAGTAACATGGTGAGAGCTGGATACATGGTACAATGGTTAAAATTATATAAAATATGACAAGACAAGTTAAAGACAGATTAAAAATTATTTAGAAAACATTAGAGCATTACGTCATGAAGCCACTTGATGATTGCACAAAATGGTGGTCATGGAATAATGAGTGAGATGAACCTTTGACAGAAGGCCGAAGGTTGTCAATGTCTGTGTTAAAAGATGGAACGAATTGTGGGCGTGTGCCAAAATGTTGCCAAATCACTTCAGATGATGTGTTTTTCAGAATGTTATGTAAGAAATTGTTATACTATATATATATATATATATATATATATATATATATATATAATTAAACATTGTAAAACATACTCAAGTTATTAAAAAACTAATACTACGTTTTGGGGAAACAATAAATTCTTTTCTAACATCGTATATTTGTTGCACGTGATGACAGTGAATGAAACCGGAAATGTGATGTATCAGACGGGTGTCAGATATACGTCATGAAAGAATATGGAAGGGTAAAAATCATTACCAAATTTCAGGTATAGTTCATACAAGGGGCGTTCGGAAAAACTTTTCATATGCCTCAAAATGCTGAATTAGTTTTTTTGAGAAATATGAAAAGCTTTTTTGAACTCCCCTCGTATGCACGTCATATTTCCGGTTTCATTCACTGTCACCACGTGCAGCAAATATACGATGTTAGAAAAGAATGTACTGTTTTCCCAAAATGTAGTGTTTTTAATAACTTGTGTATGTTTTACAATTTTTAATTTGTTCGGGCTTATTGATATGCGGTACTAGCTAGTTACCCAGCATTTAGCTGCAACCTCACCGACGAGTAAGTGATTTGAAAATTTAAATCTGTTATAAATTGGTTGCTATTCTCATAATTGTGTTTTAGCTCCTGAAGATAACAACATAGTTTGTCGAAAGCTAGAGATTACCAATTCCCAAATAAACAATTTAATTGTATTTTTTGCCCAACTGGTCGTTGGCAATAGCAATGACTACTGCGTATACTCGTATTTATACAGGGTGTCCCAGAAGTCGACGTCAAGCCGAAACCGGGTGATAGGCAAAGTCATAACAGCTATCAGAAAGATATTTAAAAAAAATTTATGTATGTGTTTTGAAAATTATAGGTCTTTGAAATAAATATAGAAATTTCACACCCTACGGCAGTCTGTCAACTCCTGTTACTACAAATATTAACTTTTTTTGGATTTTATTTTTACAATGTAATGATGAATAATGCATCTTCAAACTGGTGTCTCGACCTTACTGCCAACTTTTCTCGTTCAGGAAAAAATGCCACTTATTTCCCAACCAAGTATTCCAAAGTAAAACTTTGCTCAACTTTAACTGGCTGTACTGGAAAAAAATGTACTACGAGAGTTTG